AAACTTAGAGCTACTTGGGATAAACGAATGTAGTTTCATGTTACAATTTGAAGTCATTTTAGAAAGAAAAAAAGTCAATTTAGGTTTATTTAAATTTTTTTTTGGTGGTTACGAGGTCGAACGAATTTATCAATCCTGTTTTGAGATAGGATAGAGAAAATAACAGATAAACTATAAAGTTTTACTGAAATAAAAGTTTGAAATGCATTTAGGAGGTTGTAGGGGTTACACAAAGGAAATTTAAAATTTTTGAGATGAAGAAAAGTATTTTTAATTTTTTAGAGTATGGTTACCAATATGCTTTTATTTCTGCCAGTACTTTCTCTCCTATGAACCAATACTTTCAAACATATACGTAACATTTTTATGACAGGTAACTGTGCTCCTTTATGAGTTATTTACCATGTGTCAAGCAATGAGTGAGTGTTTTAGTTTTTCCACATACAGGCTCCCACAGTGCCACAGTGGTATATCTGCAGATTTGCAACACTAGAAATTGGGTTTTGATACCTGTGGTGGGCAGAGCATTATGCTTTATGCATAACTTCAGGCAAACAAACAAACCCATATACAGAAAATAGTCGTCATTGTTCACATGCATCTAGCGCATTAACTCATGAGAAGTGCAAACACTCAGCATTGTGTGCACACTGGGTCATGGTATTTCTGTCACAGTATTTTCAGCCTGAAATATTACTTAATTGCAGGGCTTTATTTTTTTTTTTTTGTGGGAAAAATCCTGCAGTGGTTTATATCACTTGGCTATTGAGGCAAAAACAACCTGCAGTCTGTTAGAGTCAACATACACATTTAGTGGCAGAAATACCCTTTATGAATTGTGGTTCCAGAGTAGCATCCACGGTGTTAGGAAAAAAAACAACCTCTGCCTGGTTAGTCCTGAAAGATAAATGACCCTTACAATGACATAGATACATCAAAATTATGCTTGTGTTGATGAGAAAATATATTTAATGCTATGGAGGAAGTTTGTGGAGTACTGGGAAATGTGATCCATGGAAATTTATCTTGCCCTTCTGTTGTATTGGTTTCCATAGTAAAATATGATCACATGAATGCCTCCATTTATCATCATATGAGCTATTATATATATATACACACACACACACACACACACATATGTAATTGGATCTGATACTAAATGTCTTTTCACTATATCTGTGCAAATTTTCATTCCAGTCTGATAATGGTAATGTTGGCATTTGTTTGACATCCTTCTTCCTTATGATGGATTTATATTTGAGTTACTTAGAGTTGCATTATGAAGGAATGAAAGATGTTAGCTTAATTTCCTATTAATTAATTTTGTACTATTCCCTTTAGGCAATGGATTGATATAATGCTTTCTTTAAATTTTTAAGTTTCATCCTGATATATATTAGTCTTGTGAAAAAAGTTAGTTTTGGTTCATGTTCCATGTTGGTATTGTTGCGTCTCTGGTCGTTAGTTAATTTTCCGTATAATTTCTTTCTAATGAAACTTTACTGATACAAGTCCTTTCTTAAATAAAACTGGTTTATTCTTTCTGAACACAACTTTGCAATACACTTAATTTCCACAGTCACGCTATAACAAACGCTATAATTCACAACGAACGACTCACATGCTCGACTCCATCGTCAGTCTCTCTCTGTCTGCAGTTCAATTACATTGTTGCTGTCACTTCTTGGCTGTCTTATATATACAAGAATACCGCAAATCTAGTAAACACTCGAGGATTCATGAACCTTCGAGAATATGGCATGTTACTAGCGTCACGTGACTCCCGCTGTCGTAACAGTATGTTTGAATATTGAGATGGTGTGTAATGACTTAATGTTGTCTGCACATGAGTTAACAATGGGACAAATATTTTGTCTTTTCTAACAGAGAGCACCCAACAAATTTTGAAAACTCTGAAGGAAAGAATAATGGTGATGGATGGTGCAATGGGCACCATGATCCAGATGCATCGACTAGATGAAGATGCTTATAGGGGAATTGAATTCAAGAATCATCCATCTTCACTGAAAGGAAACAATGATATTTTAACCCTAACTCAACCTGAAATAATCTATAACATCCATAAAGTAAGTACTTGAAAGCATTTATTAGCTTTCATAAATCAGCAAACTAATATACTTGTCCTACCTAAAAAAATATGAAAAATTGTAAAATAGGTAAACAGGTCAAGGCACAGTTACAAATATGCTTCATTATCAACACAGGTCTCTCTCTTCATCTTGAGATTTAAGGATACAACATTTCCAAAATTTTACATGTATTTCAAGTTTAAACATCTAGCTTTCTAGGTATGATTCAAGCCTAGCTTTACAAGAATAATACTGAGAACACAATGAATATTTAAATTCCATTATCCACTTATTTCATTTTTAACAAAAACTTGTGTAAATCATTCTTATGTATCTAAATAAATTCCATATCTCTTCTTCCAACAAAACTTTTAGCTATCTCAGTATACTTGAAGTGTAGAATTCCTACAAAACTTTTAGCTATCTCAGTATACTTGAAGTATAGAATTCCTATAAAACTTTTAGCTACATCAGTACACTTGAAGTGTAGAATTTCTACACTTCAAGTGTACTGAGATAGCTAAAAGTTTTATAGAATTCCTACAAAACTTCTAGCTGTCTTAAACAGAGCTGTGCAAGTAGTGGAATTTGTTAATTATTGGATTCATTATTTAATTACATTCAACTTATTGATTATTCTCACCTGAGACTTGGATAGTTAGAATAATCAAAAACAGTAGTAATTGGAGGCATTAGTTTTGATTAGTTGATTATTCTCATTGTGACATTAATCAATTAGGCTGTACAACCTTGAATTAGTCTAAAATAATAATAAGAAATCATAACTGCAATATTTTGTTTCTTGGATAGTTGGAAAAATCAAGAACAGTAATATTCAGAAACACTAATTTTGATTAATTGATTATTTTACTAATACTGATTCATGTAATCTATTCTTATGGATAATCAATTATGTTGATTAATCAAGCTAATCACATAGCTGTAATCTTAATACACTTCCAGGCTAGATTTCCAACAAAACTTCTAGCTATCTAAATGCATTTCAAGACTAGGTTTTCAAGAATAATACTAAGAACATTATGTTCAGATGTAGATTCTGGTGTCAATTGATGTCAGTTCTAAGTAGAAACTTGTGTGAATGACTTATGATAAAAAGTTGATGGTCACATTTGCTAAAACACTCCAGCCCCTTACTTTAACATCCTACAGCTTTATTCTATGGAAAGTTTAACACATTCATATATTTGTATACAGTGCTAAATGTTTATATAATTAAATGAATTTGTGTTACTCCAAATAGTAATAAGTAGTAACAAAACAGAAAACTTTAAACTTCATATGATTTGTTTACCATGACATCGAGTTCAATTCAATAAATGAAGCACAAAGTTGATATCATGAATATATGACTTTGCTAATCTAACACATTCTTTTTCCAACTAAGCTGCCACATTTGAATCTCATTTAGTCTGTAAATATCATCATTGTATTAATTCATTTCATTATTTCAGGCCTACTTAGAGGCTGGAGCTGATTTTATAGAAACTAATACTTTCAGTGGCACATCAATTGCTCAAGCAGATTACAAAATGGAACATCTGGTAAGCCTTAGTACCGATTTATCTCAATAACTTGCTCAGTTTGATTAACTACCGTATATTAGGTGAAACTAAAAATCAATCATTTCTTTAAATATTCTTAAGTTACATATGACATCAACAAAACTTGTGTCTTTCACCTTCCTCAGATGATAATAACCTAGTGTTTGTCATAAAGAGTCATGGATTACTTTTAAAACCTTCTCCAAAATATATGTTTGCAGACAATGTTTAAAGTTAGAGATTGGTCATTTATTCTTTTCAAGTTTTCATGAAAGTTTACTGTGATGGAGAACTCATTTTTCAGAAGATATGAATAATTTGTGTAAAGCATAGAGAGAGAGATAAAGGTACTTAACAATATATAAGAAAATACAAAGGCTATGTTGTGTTGGAAATTTCCACATCTAGTTGCCCTCAGACAAACACTGTAGCAAGCTAATATATTGAGAGGTAAATAATTTGAAGTTCATAAGCTCAGTTTTATTGTAGCTTCAAATACTTTATTTTTGTTTGGTTATTCTTATATTTTCTGTATTATTACAAAAAACATTAATGCATAAACCCTTCATAGTTTTAACATTTTCGTATTTTTTTTGGTAGAACTGTCATATGATGTTGTGTTAGAGAAATATATTTGACAAATTAATGTTTATTACCAGTTTGCCACTGAAGAAGAAAGGTCCATCTTTGGAAAGTGCTTGGGTTATAGGGTATCATATTTTTGCATAAAATTGATTTCTTGAACCTACATATTTTTTAACACCATTATTTATATATTTGTTTGTTTTCGTCTGCTTCAGAGGTGTTAGATTTCTATGCTAGTTCCATCCAGTGGTAGCAAGTAGTAAACTGATAGTTTTATCAGCTAAAATAATTTTCCACAAATACGTATGAAGACACTAGCTTTAAACAAATTTAGTTTCTTGTTAAACTGTACTCTTATAAGTACTCAAGAGTAAATGTTAACAGGAACCTTTTCTGCCTTGCAAGTAAATGCTAAAAAAATAGAATACACTGTTGAGCAAGATATTGACTACAAAATATTTTTAACAAGAGCTAAGACACTCATAGATTGGTATGGAAGTAGCTCCACGTGATAATTTGTAATAACTAAGGTTTAAAAAGTGGAATAGTGTGTCTGTTTATTAAATAGTGATAAATACATATATTGTGTTTAAGGTATATAGGCTGAATGTGGAGGCAGCAATATTGGCAAAGAAGGCATGTAAAGAAGTTGCAGCTACTACAGGTATGTATTATATGTTTTTGCTTTGTGTACCGTCCATGTTAGTGAAAGGTAAGGTAGATAAGTTGACCATGAGGTGGTTTGCCTTAGTTTTTCATCCAAAAAAATGGAACACTTTCCAATATATAGGTGAATGTGTTCCAGCATATGTTATGAAACAGATGCACCTTAACAATAAAAAAGTAACTTTACCCCTCTGAGTTTGACAAAGTGAAAGAGAACCTGGAATTTTGTTGCTGCTTTCAAGGACCTTTTTTTTATATTCATTTATATATTACATATCTTGTTTTGAGACCAGTAGCTATAAGTGTTGAGAAAATGCATTTTACCATAGTTGTTCTTGTATGTACATTGATAATTATTACTTAAAAGCATTTTGTGCCCTCCTTATTAATTGTTGTCTCGACAAAAGGTAAAGTTTGGAAGGGTTGAAAAATGGTTTTCATCTGTTTATTGCATTATTTTCCATACAGTATTTTGTTACAATAATTGAATGCAAATAAAACTAGCCCATGTAATTCATTGTCAAATTAATAGTTTTTCATACTAAATAGTTTTTCTAAAGTGAAATTAGCTTTAAGTAATTGAAAAAACTATATTTAATTTGTGTAATATTTCACCTGCTGATGCACATTTGTCCTTGATAAACATGTTTTAGTAGTATAAAACTGTGTAGGAAATTACACGTACTGGTTGTTGAAAAAGATAAAAAGAAGTATGTTATAGGTCAAACCACTAAAAGAGTTAATATATATATTTTTAATATATATAATTGTGGATACAACCTTTTTTTGGGCAATGCCCTTCTTCAGGTATTACTAACTGAAGAGTAAATCCGAAACGAA